TTTCACATGAAAGTTCAGTGAATAGTATATTTTAATGTAATAAAGAGCTTTTTTCATAACAAAAAAAAGTCAATAAAATGACTTAGACTTTTGTCGAAATAACTTTTTCTGCAGTATTTTACGTGTATGTTACATGAAAAATTTTTGATAATTGATTTTTATATAGGACTACATATAGATTTGAATTACATAGAACATCGAACACCCTAATATACAGTTCATACAGTTAAAACAGTATTAATATGTATGTCCATATGTATGTATAGTTTGCTTAATTTGTTTTAAACATATTTTGCTCTAATCTCTCTTCAAAAAATCTACTTATTATTTTTTTAAAATATCTGAATCTCCCGCCATTTCTGTTGTTAAGATACTATCATTTGTTTAATGTACCTGACTATATATCCTGGATAGGTGCACTATATATTGTACAATTCCGCTACACTAGTATTACCAATTTTACTAATTTCACTAGTTTCACCAATTTTACCAATTTTACTAGTATCACCAATATCAATAGTATCAACAGTATCACTAGTTTCACCAGTATCACCAGTTTCACCGATATCACAAGTATTACCAGTTTTACTAATATCACCATTTTTACTAGTATTACCAGTTTTACTAGTATCACCATTTTCACCAGTATTATCAGTTTCACCCAGTTCTACCAGTATTACCAGTTTTACCAGTATTACCAGTTATCAGTTTCACCAGTATTATCTAGTTTCACCAGTTTTACCAGTTTTACCAGTATCACCAGTATCACCAGTTTCACCAGTATCACCAGTATTACTAGTTTCACTAGTTTCACCAGTATTACCAGTATCACCAGTATCACCAGTTTCACCAGTTTCACCAATATTGATTGGTGATTGGTGATTGGTGAAAATTGGTGCACCATTATAGTTTAGTTTCACCTGCAACTCTATTTCTTATGTCACAGACGATGATCGTGTGACACCGTGAAAAGCACCTTTTAAAAGTAGAGTATAGGATCTTCTTATTTCATATAAAATTGGTTGCAAATTTTTTTTTGTATCACCAACATGAAATAGAACACAATAAATTACCCGTATTTAATTCTGGAACCTTCTACATGCATAAATTTAGTTAAATCCAGTTAGTATATATGTATGGTTGGGATGTTCGATGTACTAGTACGTGGTCCTATATTATCAAAAATTTTCGTGTAATATACGTGTAAAATACTGTGGAAAAAGTTATTTCAGCAAAAGTCTAAGTCTTTTTATTGGCTTTTTTTTGTTATGAAAAAAGCTCTTTATTACATTAAAATATACTATTCACT